TAGATTGATCCAGGAAAGCCTTTCTGAGTTTAGCACATTTAAGGTGACATGAATGGAAGAAGGATTAGCCATGAAAAGATCTAGGAAAGAATGTTCCAGAATGAGGCAGCAGCAAGTCCAGGGATCTGGGACGCAAAGGAGCTTGTGTGTTCCGGAAGTAACAGGCCATTATGGCTGAAGCATAGCGACGAGAGCTATATGATACCTGGGCCACGAGCACAGGGATTTTTTGTTTGTTTGTTTTCTTCACAGATGTCTCCACTCCGCGTCAAACAGAACTGTCCATGTAGTAGGTCCTTAATATTATGGAATGGACAAATGAATGAATGAATCTGACTCAAGGTGAATTGAGAGATTTAGAGAAAGGCCTGATCATGAGGCTACCATAATAAGTTTAATTTTATTTTAAGCATAACAGGTTATTTTTTGAGGGGATTTGTAGTAGACTGAATAATGCCTCTACCCTCCAAAACAAAAGCCCATATCTTAATTCCCAGAGCCTGTAAGTGTTACCTTTCATGGTGAAAGGGACTTTGCAGGTAGGATTCAGGTAGGAGGGCTTCAGATGGGGAGATTCTGTCCAAACGGGTTCCATGTGATCAGAAGTGCCCTTATGAGAGGGAGGATGGAGGATCAGCGTGAGGAAGGAGATGTGATGATGGAAGCCAAAGTCAGAGAAATGTAAGATCTCAAGCCAAGGAATGCGAGGCAACCCCCAGGTGTTTGACAGGATGAGGAAACACATCTTCCCCGGGATCCTCTGGAAGGACCCAGCCCTGCCAGCCCGTGTCAGACTCCAGACCTCCAGAGCCTGTCAGAGACTAAAGTTGTGTTTTTCAAGCCCCTGTGTGGTGATTTGTTAACGTGGCAATTGGAAATAAAAGCAGGATTATTCCAAAGTAAAGGATTTGATCAGTTATTGAATTCCAAACACGAAGAATGATACATTTTTAAAAATTAAATATTTAATCGCTTAAAATGCATTTTAAATTTAGTTGCAAAGTGTAGCTGGATCATCCTTGCTGTAGCTTGTATACTCTCACACTAGAATTTGGAAGGAATAAGCGAACAAGTGGATTTAGGTAAGAGAGGAGTAAGTAGAATTAAAGTGTCATAGGGAGGCAAGAGGGAAAAATGAGCCCATCCGTTGTAGAAAGGCAAAGGGAGAGGAAGGTGAACCAGAGAGGAGAAAGCAACAGAGAGAGAGAGTAGGAGCTTGGGAGGAAAGGAAAGGCATATTGTCTGTTGCTGCATAACAAATTACTCCAAAATTTAACAACTTAAAACAACCAACATATATGTCACCCACTGTCTAAGTGTGAGGAGGGCAAGAAGGAGCCACAGATTCGGGTGGTCCCAGCTCAGGTCTCTCATGAGGTTGTGGTCATCCAAAGACTTGGTTGGGGTTGGAAAATCCACTTTCAAAATTTTGGCTGAAAGCCCTAGTTCTTTGCCATGCTGGTCTCTCCATAGGGTTGCTCGAGGGTCATCGCGGCATGACAGTTGGCCTCCCCTCTTGGAGGGAGCCGCAGTACCTTTTCAATGACCTAGTCTCAAGTCACGCTCACTTCCACCATATTTCATTGGTCACAAATGAGTCACTAAGTCTAATCCTCATTCATGGAGAGAAGGACTAAGTTCCATCCTTTGAAGGAAACATCCAAGAATTTGTGGACATATCTTAGACCACTATGAGAAAAGGGAGGGAGAGTGAAGTAAAATTTTGAGCAAAACATTTATTTTCCGTTTGTTCAGAGGATGCCTAGATATGTCTGATTCTCTCCACTAATCTCTCTCCCATCAGTCAAGACTAATGGGTGGTGTGTGTGTGTGTGTGTGTGTGTGTGTGTGCGCACGCGCGCATGCGCATGCGTGTGTGTGTAGCAGAAAAGATGTGGAATTTCCAGTTGTTTCCCACTTTTTACTCTTGCCAGGTGATGTACATCTTCATCTCAATTGTCTCCAGAAGCTGCTGCTTCTATACTTAAACCTGTCTAATGTCCAGATAATCCACCTCAAAATTTTGAGGACCCCTGCAGCTGGTTTGCTGAATTCCCCCTCAAGAAAATCTGCCACATTAAATCCACTTTGCCAAGTCTTCATCCAGAGGTGATAAAGTTGTTCGATGGAGATTCATTGCAGTTATAATAAGTTCAGGAAGCACTGTCTATTGCAGATATAAATTAAGAGAGAAGGTTCAGAGATATGGATCAAGTACTACGATCAGTTCATTGCAATGTGACTCGCAGATGGAGACAGCCTGGAAAGGTGGAATGAATGTGAACCTGTTTGTGAATAATTCTGAATTAGGTTACACTGATTAATGAATTAATGGGAAAGGTGAAGGAGATAGAGCAGCCTGTAAAGAGACATTCCAGACTGCATCTGCCTTTCTGTTCTTTCACTTTCTGTCAGATATTAGATTTGGCCTTTAGGCTTTCTTTGATTTCCTTCCTCTCTTCCCCTATCTCTTTTCTGTTTGTAGGAAAATAGTAAAAATAGCTGTATTCTCATAGAAAGCCTTTAGATTCTCTTATATTCATTGCATGTAAAAATGCAAAGGTTTCTCTTTTGCTACTTAGTTTTTATTTGTTTGTTTGTTTACTCAAGATGGAGTCTTGCTCTGTGACCCAGGCTGGAATGCAGTTGCATCATCTTGGCTCACTGCAACCTCTACCTCCCGGGTTCAAGCAATTCTCCTGCCCCAGCCTCCCATGTAGCTGGGATTACAGGTACCTGCCACTATGCCCAGCTAATTTTTGTATTTTTAGTAGATCTGGGGCTTCATCATGTTGGCCAGGCTTGTCTCAAACTCCTGACCTTGTGATCCACCCACCGCAGCCTCCCAAAGTGCTGGGCTTACAGGCATGAGCCTTCATGCCCAGGCTGCTATTTGGATTTTAAAGGAAATATACTGTATAGCAAAAGATGTCATCCATATTTTAAAACAAATACAAGCCTCAATTTTTAGGCATTGATATTTTAAGTCTGGATTTGAGAATGAAAAAAATGCACATTGTGTTCCTGTATTTTTGCATTGTGTACCTAGAAGAGCAGACACAAATGCCTTAATGGGATATTCCTGAAAGTTATTCTTAAATACTGTGATAGATACTAATTTCTTTTTAATATACTGTTAGAAGCTACAAAATCAATTATTTTACTCTGAAAAGTACATTTTTGTGAGGCTGGAAATGAAGGAAGTCATTTTGATTATTTAGATTACCAAAATTTGGTAAAATATCTCTCAATGGATGAATAAGCAGCTTTGTGTTTTATTTAAAAAGAAATAAATGTATGTGTTAATATTCCTAGTATTTCAAATCAGTCCAAATCAGAATATATGCTGAGCACCTTCTGTGTACCATTGAGGATTTTTTGTGTACTCGATTTAGGATACTAATGTTAATACAAGCACAAACAAAAGTGCATAGAAAATGGTGACATTTACTAAAGCAAGGGTGAGCAAAGTTTTTCTGTAAGGGGCTAGTTGGTAAATTGTTTACAGTTTGTGGGCTGCATAGTCTCTGTCACTAGCACCCAACTTTTCCTTTATAGGACAAAAGCAGATATAAAAATTTAGAAATGAACAGACATGGCTGTGCTTCAATTAGACTTTATTCATAAAAAAACAAACAAACTAGATTTCCTTCAAGTTAACCCCTTGTACTGAAGGATGGCTTTATGCCTGCCAGGAACTAAAATCATTTTGTTTCCTTTGCATTCACTTAAATAAAATTTCCAGTAAATGTTATTTCTAAAAACAATTGAGTTTTGTCTCTGTAGTCACATTTTATTGAACTTGATAGTCACTTTATTTTTATAGTCACTTACTTAGTTATTAACGGCCAGATTTGTATTATTAATGTCCTTGGACAGTTCAACATGTGCAATGCAAGGAACCAATAAAACAAATTTTATTTGTTGGAAATAAATATGTTGTTTGTTCTGTACAGAACACAGTAGATGGAACAAAATCTCATTTCATTAAAATGTATTGAAAGCTTATTAAGCACGTAAGCTAGAAGTTCTGTTTCTAAAGTCAACTATAGTATTTTATTTCCAATATCTGCAATGGTGGTACCTGTTTAGGTTGAGGGCATATACAGGCTTTCTTTCAAAGAAAAATAGAATGTTATTCTCTGTTCCTTTTTCTCTTTATTTGTACTGTTCTAAGCAAAAAAGAACAATTATTTAAAAGCATTTTCAAATGATGTTGTAATATATATGCAATGCTTATGACCTTTTCTAGAATGTCTCAATTTAAAAAAATATTTATAAGCCTAAAATGTTCTATTTGTCCTTAACATTTTGCTTTGCTCTGCCTGCATGAATTACTGTGACATTCTGTTCATTGTGGACATGCCCTCTTCTTCCCACTGCTCCCTTTGTCATTGTTTAAGGAGGAACATTCTGTAGGTCCTCCATGAGCATTGCTTTCAGAGAAAAGCCGACAAAACTGTCACAAGGGAGCACAGTTTAAATTGCTTGTTGAGCTGGTTGTCATCTGACCTGATGCTGGCTTCTCATAAGGTCCTAACCATGGTAGCTGGTTATTTATGAAAGCACTTAGCTTTCATAGCAATCACATGTGCACACTGAGTTCTTGGGTAAGACAAAGATGCTCTAATTGTCCATTTCAAATAACTTTCACATCCCTTTGGTCTTGGTTAGAATTTAGCAACTTGAGTCCATTGTGTGAAAATGGAACAGAAGCGTTGTTGATAGCCTCAGTTCAATCAGACCTCTCAAGCTTGATTATGCTTCATGAGGAGATAAAGACAATCATGTCGCGATTCCTCTGCTCACTCATCAGATTTTTCACAGAATGCCTTTAATGGGTTCACACAAATGTTCTAAAATTAAGGGCAAACTCTAGGATGTGTGTCCACGGTGTCTTAATCCTTCCTGCCAGTGCCATTAACTCAAGTAAGGAAGACAGTTTTGAAATGAGAAAAACTCATGGCCACCCAAAAGCTCCTTTTGTGTGTCTCTTGCAGGAGTCCTCTGGAACCTCTCCTCATGTGATGCACTCAAAATGCCAATCATCCAGGATGCCCTGGCAGTACTGACCAACGCAGTGATTATCCCCCACTCAGGCTGGGAAAATTCGCCTCTTCAGGATGATCGGAAAATACAGCTGCATTCATCACAGGTGCTGCGTAACGCCACCGGGTGCCTAAGGTGAGTCCTGTGTCACAAGTACCTCCTCCCACCATCTTCCCCTGGCCAGACGCTGTCTCTTTCCATAACTTTAATGGCTCTTTTGCTGAGGATTGGACCATTCTGAAAAGATGAATGTTGATGTGACAATGGAATATAAGAAGTTAGTAAAAGATATTTCTAACCCGGTAATAAAGTCATGTAGATATTTTCCTCTACCTAGTCAATGTTAGACTTCTTTCACATGATCTCTTAGGTCTACGGTGAAAAACAAACATTTTTATTCCAACCGAAAATAAGTCATTTTCTTTGGCCAAAAACAGTAGCTCTCGGTACTTTCACATTATATCATGCATACAGAACAACCAGGCAGGCTGACTGGTTGGGCAGAGTCCATAACAGATACAGAGGGATCTGGTTAAATGTCACAAGTAGCTATTTTAAAAAATATTCTCCTTTTAAAAATTCTCTAACAACCTACAATTCTTAGAAATAGCTCTTTAATAAGGCCTGTTGTATTAAATGGTTTTTTTTAAATAGTAAAAGCAGCAAATGTGTTGTAATTCTCTCCTGATGCATTCTCACAAAAATTATCCATCCCTCAGGAATCTATTGAGATTTCTTAGAATCAACTTTATGTCTTGTTTATTTTCTGCTCTTAGGAAGGAAAGTAGTTATCAAGATGTAATTCTTCTAAACTTTAGAAACTGTGCTCCCGAGGGTGTTGTATTTTGTACCAAAGTTGGAAATCTCTGCGGGATGAAGTTGATGGGATAGGGGCAAAAGGAGTGATTAAAATACCTGGCTGAATAATCTGTATTTCAAAAGTAAAACATACAGGATTGCTTTGGTTGGAATGGTTCAAAACTGCCACTTCTCCTATAGTTGATCAGTTTCTAGGTATAACAACCAGTCCGTACTGAGAAGGAACAAAATCACCTCAGTTGCATTAATAATCATCATCTCATGAGTATTCATCACAATGCTCTCAGCCTCCAGTCTTGAGAGGGGAGGTATGTGTTTGTGTGAATGTGTGTGCACAGGGCAAGATAAGAGCCTGCCTTCACGAACATCTACATGCATTCATAGGCAGGAATGGGAATCCTCTGACAGTTCTGCTTTTCATCCAAGTCACGAAATCATGAACATCTGACATGATTTCTCTGGATAGGTGCTACCATATGCCAAGTATACAGTTCTCTGAAACCCCCTGCTGAGGCATCCATTCTGTAACCCCTTAAATTCTGTTATCCATTAGAAAACGTCTGTCCAACCAAAAGAAGTATAACTCCTCCAAAGCTAAAATTGTAGGCACTTCTGAACTCTCATGCCTGATTTTTTTTTCTATTTCACTTATTTATAACTATTTAAAAGTGTTTTTCCCTTCCTAGCATTCCCTACTTTCAGAGTGTCAGGGTCCCTAGTGAAGACTGCAGAAGGAAGTGCCTCAGAAGCTATTATAGTCAATAAGGACATGGCTAGCTCTGTCCATTAAAATGCTCTCTGATTAATATAATAGCATAAGTATGTCTTCTTTGTCTTTGAAAGGATGTAGGCCACCACCTTTATGAAAGTACATTTTACATCCTTTGATAAAAAAGTAGATGAAGGGGCCGGGCACGGTGGCTCACGCCTGTAATCCCAGCACTTTGGGAGGCCGAGGCGGGTGGATCACAAGGTCAAGACACTGAGGCCATCCCGGTCAACATGGTGAAACCCCGTCTCTACTAAAAATGTAAAAAATTAGCTGGGCATGGTAGCACGTGCCTGTAATCCCAGCTACTCAGGAAGGCTGAGGCAAGAGAATTGCCTGAACCCAGGAGGCAGAGTTTGCAGTGAGCCGAGATCGCGCCATTGCACTCCAGCCTGGGTAACAAGAGCGAAACTCCATCTCAAAAAAAAAAAAGTAGATGAAGAAGATAGACCAGTGTAGGCTCACGGTTCCCCTTTATACATCATCTGGCTGAGTTTAAGGTCTGGGTTGTGATGCCAGAGCGGTTTAGTGAGACCAGAATGACTCCGCGTCCTTCTCTATTCACACATACAGAAGCTCAACATTTGCTGCTGCTTCTGCTGCTGGCCAGACTAAGAAGCAAAAAGTGATGCCATTTGGTTTAGTTTGTCATATCGACATCTGTGACACCAGAACAGTCACAGATGTCCACATCATGATAGAAGACTTTAGATTTTAGTATGCAAGTATATTTACACTTTTCATTTTTCCAACAAAGCCAAGATCTTTCTTCAGATTAAAGAAATGACCTCCTGTGCTGCTTCTGCCACGCAGCAGTTTTACGCCAGGAGCTTTTGCTGACCACCTGCCGTAAGGGGCTAAAGAGGCTGAGATAGGGCAGCCTCTGCCCTGCAGAAAGTCATAACTGAGTGGAAGAAATGACACTCACCCAGTGAGCCTCAGCACAACAGCCTAGTGGCATTTTAGTGTTATGATCATGGCAGTACAGGAGGAAAAACTGGTGAAGAAATGGCTGACAGCCAGTTGTGGTCCAAAAAGGCTTAAAGGTCAGGTGAGATTGTGCTTCGCATGGAGAGGATGCAACGGGGAAGCGTCATGGCGGGTAGGAGTGGCCAGCACTCTGTACCCAGTGCTGAAAGGACTCTAGGGAAGTTTGAGATGCACCATCAATAGAGACTAGATTTTTTAATAAAATTAAAATTAGTGTTATTATTCATAAAATCTCTGTCTTCCAGGGGCCTGAAATTTCTGCTTCAGATACATTGTTGATTCTCATATGCATCGTAAGCCCAGTGAGCCCATGTGTAGTAAGTCGTGAAGCCAGGACTTGAGCCACATTCTGAGTTTGGTTTCAGACCATTCCCACCCTACCACAGAGAGAGGACATACAAAGTTATCAGATAGGAGACTGCTGACAGATCTGTGCTTAAAACAATGCACAACCACCACCAACTGCTGACAGGGCAACGCTTTCCTCTCTGTTGGTTCCTTAAATTTGCTCCCAGAAATAAATGTAGTGGCACCCACATGGCCAACATCATTTGGCTTTTAAATGCCAGTTTTCTTCTCCCTCTCGCTTCTTACCTGAAATTCTTTCCTGCTGGGGGGAGTGTGTAGGTACCTTGGACAGCGCTAGCTACTCAGCTCAGTGCAAGTCTCTTCTCTTCACCTCCGCCTTTAATCTTCATGTAGACAACTAGAGCTATGGGTGCCTTTTTGTGTTTTAAGATAAGACTGTATTTTAAGGAATTTTCTAGATAATAATGTTGACATCGTTTTTCCAGTACTCAGACTCCTTTCTTCTTTTGCCGATGACCTTAAGATGAGTTAATGTTTTTAGTTTGCTTCTCTAGCTGTTGTTTCAGAGATATATAAAGAAAATAAAACATCCAAGAAAATAAAACTGTTTTTCCTAGAATACTATTTCCTAAACTGGTATAGCTTGGAAATCCAGCAGAAGGAGTATGTGGAAAGTACAGCTAAATTCATCAGGTCATATTGTTGAAAATCATTACTCTTGATTTTTGTTCCTAGCAGGATTCAGTCTTATTTATGTTATTTCAGGGTGGGAGCCAAAGTTAAGAATTTAAGGAATTACTATTTTTAAAGAGGTCACCTTTTCATTTTAAATCTGTGAATGCAAATTATGTTACTCTTAAATGTCCAAAAGCTTATTAAAGATAAATTTAAGTCAGTAAAATATGCCTAAATCTTGGCCAGAATCACAAGCTGACACTATTCTCTCTTTAGACAGTTTCATGCAGGCTTAATAGGTTCTGCCTTGTTTCAGGCTTTCCTTTAGGCGCTGGATATTGTACCAATATCGGTGGCTGTCCCCACCTCATGACCCAACCCCACCCCATTCCCTACCACCTCCAGGTCCCAGGCTAGTGAAGGAGGCACCTTCACAGGGAACATTCAAAAGAGAGGAGACACTTGCTTTGCCTTCTTTAGAAAGGAATGGAAAATCTTCATGGGAGGATATATCATGTTGACATAGCAAAAATTTAAGCACGTATGAAATATAAAATGAAAAGTTAATGCCCTTAGTCCTTTTTTGTTTAAAATTCATTTGGGGACCAGAAATGGAATTTTTAAAAAGCAGACCTGTCTATGTGTTCCTGGAGTATCTATCTGTCACTGAGGAAAAAGGATATAAATGGGGAAAAAATCTCTTAAATTTGTTGGACGCCTGAGTTGGTAAGAATGATGGCAGCTAGATTGTGGGACTCTAGGCGGATGGGGAGGAGGGGTGTGGGGGCTAGAACTATGGGTGATCAGAAGGTAAGGGCTTCATCTCTACGCACTGCCTCCACTACCTCTTTCTCACACTCCCCCCCCGACCCCATCTTAGGCACACTGACACTCCCCTTCTTCATTTCTTTCCCATTTGCTAGTTGTTCCTTTTGCTCCAGTTCTGCCAGATTCGAGCATCAATTTTTAACAACAAAAAAAAAACATTTTAAAATATGGTCCCAAACAAATGTGGCAAAATGTTGGAGAAGCTTAGGATGTAAGAATAAGCTAGGTTATTTTGTTAGTCTTCTCTGCTTTGTTTTATGACTAAGGAGTCCTTCAGGGAAGTGAATTTCATAGAGTGAGGTTCAGACCTTGAAACAGATTCAGTTTCACACTCACTGTTGTTTCCTTGCACATTGTGTGATCAGATCCCTCTCTTAGCCTGTGGCGCTGTAACTATCACCTTCAACCAAAAGCATGTATTGAGGGACCATGGCCTGCCTGAACACTATCCAGGGAACATTGAGCTGGCTCCACCCTGGACAAGCTCATGTTGGCTGAAGTCACTGTGGTGTGTTGAATAAATGTTCCCCCAAGATTCCTATTCATCCAGAACCTCAGAATGTGACCTTATCTGGAAATAGGGTCATTGCAGATATAATTAGTTAATGAAGATCAGGTCATATTGGATAAGGCTGGGTCCTAAAGCCAATGAATGTCATCTTACAAAAAGAGACATACGCACAGAGAGACACACAGGAAAGAAGGGCTTCTGAAGACAGAGGCAGAGTTTGCAGTGTTACAGCCA